GAGGGTGATAAGGAGCAGGGCAATAGTCGGCTTTCTTCCCAGAGGAAGAGAGAATTTTACGTTTATCTCTGGTTTCGATGAGATAAGGTTCCAGAGCATCGCCAAAAAGCTTATCGCCTGCGAAAGGAACTGAAGCCAGCTTCCATTTTTGGTGTGACTCCGCCTGCCAATTTCGGAGCCATAAAAGTCTTCTTGCTGCTTCAGAAGATGCCATGGCCTTGGATGCAAATTTGGCGGAATTGAGAGTGGCATCCGCAGTGAATTCCGCCACTGCAATAATCTTATTAAGGTCTTGGTGAGACTGAACGTCAGAAGCAGGCAATCTATTCTGGAGTTGGCACAGCCACCGTATGGATGCCCTCGTGAAAAAGGATGCTGCTGTTGAAGCCCGAACAGCCCAAGCAACGGCCTGGTGATTGCGCTTGAGGGTCTGTTCGGAACGTTTATCATCTGGTTTCAGGATATCTTCTGGCTCCGTGGGAGTGCCAGAAGATGAGAACGAGGCCAGAACCGGAATGTCAACAGAAGACACTGCCAGGGCATTGTCCAGGGCTGTGCTGACATTGTAGAAATGCTTATCCAGAGAAGATGGGTGAGGACCTGCCAAAGGAGAAGCACACTGTTCCTTGACCATGTCCAGGAACAAAATGGGAGAAGGCAAAACCTCTGCATGCACTACAGGCTTGGAGAAGAGCGAATCCCCTTGGCTAGAGGGATTTCCTTGTGGCTCGGGAGCCACTTCCTCTGGCGACAGCTTGGCAGTGACCAAGGCCTTGCTGAGTAATGGTCTGAAGAGAGTAGGTTTGAAGACCAATGCAGAGGATGTCTGCTCTGGGCAAGAATCCTCTTCCTCTGAAAGATTTTGGTCAAAAATCTCACCCTCTTCACACTCTGAATGAGAGGAGTAACTGTGTTCAGATGGTGAAGGCCTTCCTTCCTCATCAACCTCCTCCCATTCTGGTAGAGAAGAATGGACCCTGAGGTCCTGGGGCCTGTGTAAATCAGGATGATGAGGCAAGGAACTTATAGATTGAGAAGGGAGAAGGGCCTGAACCCTTTCCAGAGGTTGAAGAATTTGCTTGAAGCCTTCAGCCAATCCCTGCCTAATAGCTGATGAGACTACATCTTGGATATCCCTTGGTCTATGCTCAAAGGTAGAGGCAGAAGACCGAAGGCCCGCTGCTGTGGGAGTGAAGGTGGCTTCAGGCCTAGATTGATGAGAGGTTCGAGCCCTGGAGGAACGGGGAGGAGCATAGGGCACAGAAGCCTGTTGGAAATAAGGCCCAGATCTGCTTAAATCCTGAGGATCTGACTATACAGCAAGAGCCTCAGGAGACCAGGATGGAGGATGGAAAGGCTCATAGATAACTTCTCCTCCCCTGGGAGGGCTTGGTTGGGGCCCACGAGTATCACCTGAAACATGCTGTAGTTGCACTCCCTTCTGTTGAATAGTTCTGTTGAACTGCCTCTCTAGAGCTGCATGTCTGCGCTTCTCTGCCCTCAATTCAGCCTGAGTTGCCTTCTTAGGGGCTAGAGCCTTACCGTTGATTTTTGCAGCCACCTCTCTCTGGACTGATTGGGTGCATTGCCTACGTCTTTTTCTCCTATTGGGCTTAAGAGACTGTTCCACTGGGGGGGAAAGCTCTGCCAGAGCCTTATCTTGTTCCATTTGTAAAATAAAGGCTCTTGCATTGGAAAGAATCTGTTTAGAAATGTTTCTATTAAGCCCCTTAGGGTATAAATGGCCCCCGGGCTTACAAAATGGCCGCTCACCTCGTGGTGGAAGGCTTGAATCCAAGATGGCCGCTGACTACAGGAAACAGGCTCCAAGATTGAAGAATCGCTCCTTAGGCTATACAGAGCCCCGAGCAAATCAGCAAGGGAAAAACACAGCAACCAGCTACACGATCAGCTGGCTTGAGCTCTTATCAGTTTGCCAATCGTATTTACGATTGCTCCAAACTGCAGGTGTGGGGAAGGTCTGCAGACGCTGCCCAGCTTGCCTGCACAGAGCTCTGGTAATGCTGCTCCCAACGTTGCAGGAGAGAGAGAGAGAGAAAGAGAGCCCTGCTCTCCTGGGAGCTGCTTGAAGAGAGGAAAAAAGTACTGAAAATTGCTGGTGATTGCTATCTAACAGAACGCTTTCAGAGACACAGCTACTGACTGAAAGGAGCTGAGTCAAAAGCTGGGGTCTCTCCCGGGAGCTGGCTTTTATATCTTAGTACAGAATCAGCTAAATGATGTCATAGGAAAGAGTCAACCCATCCTGGGCTCTCGATGCAGCATGGAGGAGAATAGGTCTGTTCCCTTATTTTCACATTTTGGATTGAAATCCACTTGGGTTGTTACATGATTTTAGATTGCTTTTGAATGTCAAGGAGATGCACATGTCCTTGTTGGCTATCATCCCAGTATTCGGAATGTACTAGTTATCAAGAATTGGGAACTTATTATGTGGGATAGCCAAAAGAATTATTATATAACACTGGAAGGATAAATTTACAGGATCTGCAGTAATAAATTATTGATATGTATTATTTTAATGATTTACATGAATATTTCTTTTTCAACAAAATGGCATGGAAGAGAAATTCCAAGGAATTTGATCAAACTTTTTGGAAATTGTTTTTGGTGTTAATTGGTAGACCATGTTTATTTAATTCAATATTATCACATATATGTGGTTATATTTCTATGTATATGCATTTCTATGTGTTCTGTGCCTAAACAAGTAGACAAAGAGAGAGAGAGAAAATTGCAAACCATGGTATATGAACTGACTATGTCAAACACCCACACCCACACACAAAACCACATTTTTGCCTTGTTATTATAAGTGTACTCAGTCATACCTAAGAAAAAGAAGTCTAACATATTTGGTGGCAGAGTGGTTAAAACCACTTAGAGAGGGCTGTAAAGCACTATGAAGCGGTATATAAGTCTTAAATACTATTGCTATTGCTATTTTATACACATTTGAAAAGTGCAGATGCATTTGCTGGCCTGACATGAACAATGTACGTCTGTCATAAAAATGTTAAACCAATGACTCTTGCAATGGTGTTTGCATCATAGAAATGTTTGGTAAACTATAAACAGATTGAAGTAATGTTGTTTATCACAGGCAATAAGGTTAAAAACAGCACAAGACAAAAACAAATGACTAAATAAAATGTAAAAAGCAAAGATAAAAAACATGCAATCAATGTAAACATGTGCATGAGGAGAATAAACACACCTGTGACTGTTCTGGAGTAGAAATAGTGGCTGTCCTTGTCATCTCACAAGTGGACTACTCTAACACACTCTGCATGGGGGTCTGCCCTTGAAAATCTTCTGCAATCTGCAATTAGTGCAAAATACTAATGTTAAGAGTCATGTCAGTGCTGTGGTTAGAATGCAGTACTGCAAACTACTTCTGCTGACTGCCAGCTGCCTGCAGTTTGGCAGTTCGAATCTTACCAGGCTTAAGGTTGATTCAGCCTTTCATCCTTCTGAGGTGGGTAAAATGAGGACCCAGATTGTTGGGAGCAATATGCAGACTCTGTAAACTGCTTAGAGAGGGCTGTAAAGCCCTGTGAAGTCTAAATGCTATTGCTATTAGGCAGGGCAATTTAGGTAATTTATTCCATGTAACATCAGTATTTCAAGAGTGCCTTGGTAACTGGCTTGTTTCAAATTGTAATTTAAGGTAAAGATGATAACCTTTAAAGTCTGCATTACTTAGGGTCTATGTGTGCCTAAGGTGTGCCACAGAAGAAACTAGACAGTGGTTACTGATTACCCCCCCTCCCCCGCAACAAGCCAGTATTCTCTGTAGAACTCCTCTCCTATGGAACACTTTCCCATCGAAGATAAGGATCATGCCATCACTTTTAATAATCAGATGTATTGAAAAACATGTGTTTATTTGTGTAACTCTATATGGGATGTATCTTTGTGTTTTCTGTTACATGGAGTCATGATTTCTATGTCTAAGAATATAATAATGGTTGGTGGCATTTATATTTGATAACTATCTTTTATCATTGTATTATTATACTGTATATTTGTTGCTGCTCAGGATAAGTTGCTTAGAAACAAATGACTAAAGTGTCATAAAGGTGTTTCAATTAAATAAAAAATGGGGGGCCTTTAGTCAAACAAATTTGCTCACAAGGCTCTCTAAAGGAGCCAAGGTTTAATGACTTTCCTGCCCAAATTGTAAAAGAATCCCAGTTTAGTTGTAGGCACATTGTTTCATGTTGTGTAACATTTCTTTCACAAAGTTGATTGATAACCATGAGAGCTGTATGTTAATGAGTGACAACAGCAGAAAATATTCCAAAATTCAGCATGTTGTTCCCTTTAAAAGGATTGCTGAAATACTCCCCTTAAGATATTTCTGCTAAATATTTCATGCTTTCCCCCAAGCTTTTGGTAATAGAGATCTATTATTGATGTTTTAGGTTTGAGTCCGAACATATTATATTGGAAGCTGGTAGATAGTTATTCTCATGTAGAACTTTGACGAGAAGATGAAAATAAGGGAGAACTAGGCAATGCAGGCCTGCTGTGTATCCGATAGGAGAAGTGCTTTCCTCACTGACTGATGACTCATTGGAAAGTCATATGTATCATTCAAGAATTAATGGAATCCTGTTAGTGAGTAGCAGAACTATTGATTATGAAGGAAATAAATTAGTTGCTTTCGTGGTTTAATAAAAATATTATGGGAAAAATTTTGCATTTCCATGAATAGTATCTTTCAAGACAGTGGCATACTAGGCCTTTTGAAAACATTAACAAAGTTACCCTAACTTAGGTAATCATGCATTTGGGATAGAGATTGCAGAACTGGATAACCCTTTCTGTGTAATAGTGTAGCAAAACCAGAATATTCTTCTTATTTCTCTATAGAAATTTGATTCTGAGTAACATTCTGTCTTTCAAATATTATTTCTTCCTTTTCTTGTTACTTATAAAAAAGTAAACAAACTTTCTTAATGTTTTCTCAACAGTGTTTTCGAGCCCTTTGCTGCAAAGGACCTCCACCTCCACGACCAGAGTATGACTTGGTTTGCATAGGTCTCAGTGGCTCTGGCAAGACAAGCCTGTTGTCCCAGCTCTGCAGTGAAAATAGAGAAAATATAGTGTCAACTACAGGTGAACTGATGTTTTGTTTTGTTTCTTCAGTTATAGGCATTAAATGCAAGAGATCATTTAACGACTGCAACCAGGCATGTCAGGATTGCAGTCATCGAGCGAATCAATGACATTATATCTTGATTAGTGATTCAGTAGCCAACATTCCAGTCCCAATTATGGTTGCAAGTCAAAAACTATATATAAACAGGAAGCAAACCCCATACTTGCTAGCACTGATGATGTTCCTGTTTGGGTATTGATATGTCTGCAAATAAACAACCAAGCTCAGAGAATACCATGGACTTCTGAATTAAAATAATACAAAATGCATTTGCATACTTTTATTTTTTTATCTACCCATTATATAACTCATGGTAACAATTATTAGTAATTTGATTTTACTAACTTAAGTTGACAAGATGCTAATAGATTAAACTGAGGAAAATAATGTTACAGTGAACATATGTACTGAAAAAAGTATATTTTTGTGTATTTCTATTTTCAGGTTTTAGCATAAAAGCAGTGCCATTCCAGAATGCAATATTGAATGTAAAAGAACTTGGAGGTAAAGAACGCTATACATAATATGCACAATTGATGCATATTATATAGCTTTTGATTCCTTTGTGTCTTGATTTATGACAATAAGCAATAGTTTTGATACTTATCAAGTACCTTTCTAGGTGTAGTCACTGCCTGGTACAATCTAAAGTAGATCCATCTCAGGAAGAAAGTGGGGAAAAATGTTTAACTAGTGAAAGGTTGGATCAGGGAAATCAACTTTACAAAAAAGAGATAAGGAATTGTTGTTGAAGGTGGCTAGCTATAGCACTGTGAATATTGATACATGGGGCTGAGTTTCCAAGAGATGTATTATATCAAAAAAGCACAACAAATAATAGTTTCAATCAAAGTTATGTATAAGATTTGGGAGATTTGCAACAGCTTAATGAAGATTCTGTGTTTCCTTAGTTATAATTTAACTGAACTATATTTCCAGTTAAGTGTAAACAGAAAGATACATTAAAAAAAGGCTTTATGTTTGTTACATGATAGGATGAAACTTATATTTCTGGAAATAATTAGAGTGTCATCTAATTACTTCAGACAAAAAAAGGCCTATTAGAATGGCAACTCTTCAGATGCTCGGAGAACTGCGAGACATTCTACTATCTGATAATTCATTCATAATTATCAGATACAGATTTTTTTTCTTAAAACTGCTACATTGTACTTAGAATGCACATTTCCCATTAATTACATATTATAGCAAGACTGCCATTCATCATGGACCTTGATATTACACAGAACTTCTTGAACAAACAGCATAATTGGAAGGTGAAGTGATATATGTAGCGAGCATCAGGTTGGGGAACAGTAGCCTGGTATTGCTTTCCCAGCATCATTTTGACTATGTTAGCTGATCTATTGTATATATTTAGGCTGTCGCTATTGAATCAGCAATTTTGTACTCTGCTCCACATTTTGAGTTTTGTTTCATTCATAAAGTTTTAACTGCTCATCTAAATTATGTTTGTGAAAAATAACTTTGGAAATGTGACTCTTCTTTTGCTTGCGATGAAAGAAAACATTAAATTAAAGCAAAACTATTCTACGGATGCTTTGTTCTACATACAGGTATTTCGCAACTTATGTTTAAACCTGGGACTGGAGTCTTTGTCATTGAGCAAAGCAGTCATTAAAGCAGTCAGATGCCCATGTATTAGCCTCACTCAACAACCACAATCCCAACTCTCCCAGTTGTGGTTATTAAGTGATCATGCAGTTTGTTATACTGAGTGCTGGGGAGAGGACTGTCTCTTTGCTCCATCATGTCCAGGTTCACTTATCTTCGCCTTCTTCTGCAGCTGCATGCAACTTCATATAATGTGAGACATAGCCTTCCTATCAAGCCTTCCTATCAAGCCTGCCTTGTGCCATCCTGCAAATGGGTCCAGTTCTCACAATCATTGAAAGGTTCCTTTCCAAATCATTTGATTTGGAGAAGGGACCTTCCTAGGGCTAGAAAGCTAGTGATCGCCATCCTCCTGAAGGATAGAAATCTTTTTACTAACACCATCATTCTAGATGGATAGAAGTTCTAGAACACCATCATTCTAGAAGGCTAGAAGGGTATGCCTCATCCAGACTGCAGGAATGGAACTCAGAAGTTCAGGATGTGAGCTACATTTCTTCAGTTCAGTGGAAAAGATGGGCCAGAGTGCAGAAATAGTACTTGGATCTTCAGGACACAAGTCTCATTTTCTGCAGCCTGATGGAGTAGCCAAGTTTCCTTCCATGCATGGAAGAGAACATCTCCACTGTGCTGCAAAAATGAAGCTTATGCCTTCTGGATCCAAGCCCCATTTGTCCAGTCCAGTGGAGGGGCTGAGCTTCACTTAGGCAGCTTTTTTAGCCAGCCCCCAGGTATGAGCGGGAGTCCTTTCAACAGGTGATAGCAACTTTCAACCTTCCCTGCTGGCTTCCCCATTGACTTTCTGGGAAGTAAGCAGAGAATATTTTAAATAGCATGATCATGGAGCACTTGGGAACTGGTTGTAAGTGTGAACAGGTTGCCAAGCACAAAATGTGGCCATATGACTACAGAGGGTAGCACAAAATTTTATAAAAGCTGGAAGTCCTTAATGGGTCCTAAATAGCAATAGCATTTAGACTTACATACTTTACAGCCCTCTCTAAGTGGTTTACAGAGTCACCATATTGGCCCCAACCATCTGGGTCCTCATTTTATCAACCTCGGAATGATGTTAAATGTCATAACTCAGTGACTATCTGTAAAGTGCTTTATTCTGGATATTCAAACTATGTAATAGTGGCGAATATCTGTAGATTGGGTGTAAGATGGGGGTGAAGGTTCATTCTCTGAGCTTCTGGGTTGGCTTCTGAATATTTCATTGCCAGGCTAGGTAACATAGGGGAGTTCCCTAAACTCCGCTGAAGATATTACCTAGCCTGGTAACGAAATGTTTGGAAACCAATCCACAAGTTTGGAGAACAAACCTTAACCCTCATTCACTCAACTATGTTTTAAGAAGACATTGGATGAATACCCAATTTAGTTCTATAAAAACAAAATTTATTTGCTGGATAATGCAAATTGATTAAATAATGCATAGAAGAGGATTCAGCATAAGAGTTTCAGAGAGAAGTAAAGGAACAGATTAAAAAAAAGCAAGAGAGTGAATTTTAATTTTGTTTTGTTTTTAAGATGTAAAAGCTATAGCTGAAAAATATAACCAGTGAAAAAATTGTCAGAAGTAAATATTTTTAGAGATATGGTAGTAAGGGATTCCCTGTTTGATGTAGTGGGTAAGGCATCAGAGTAGAAACCAGGAGAACATTTCTTATAATGTTGATATGAAATTTTCTAATAGTGTAATACATTAAAATATGGTAAAAAGAAAGCATTGAAACTTAATTTTGATATGTCTAAACAAGATATATGTAATTTGTGCTATATGTCATCTGATTAATGTTTATGCTTGTTTTTTATTTGATAATTGCCAAAGGGGCTGACAATATCAGAAAATACTGGAGTCGTTACTATCAAGGATCTCAAGGAGTAATATTTGTATTAGACAGTGCTTCTTCAGAAGATGATTTAGAAATTGCTAGGAATGAACTGCATTCTGCACTGCAGCATCCACAATTATGCACTTTGCCATTTTTAATATTGGCCAATCATCAAGACAAGCCAGCTGCTCGTTCAGTACAAGAGGTATGTTTAGTACTCCAAGAACTTGTGTGTTATTAATTGTTTGAATGCAATAATGCGAAAGTCATGACTGTATGTATCTGATGCATATGTAGAGTCTATAAAGTTTGGATTAATATAATTATTGATGAATGAAGAAAATATACTTTTAACTGTCCACGCCAAGGATTGCCTGTGTGTACTTTTGTGTTTTTTTTAAAAAAAAATCTGTGTGGAGTTTCTCTACTTTTATCATACTGTCTTCTTATCCAACATCCTTAACACTCTCTTTTATATATCCTTAACAAGATATTATTTTTTTACTTGTTAAAGCATCCACTTTAAAAAATTTAGCACATGTCCATATGGGTTGGCTCTTACCTCAAACTGTGTCCATTTCTGGGCATCACTTTAAGGAGCATTGAAAGCAATTGGTACAAATGAGAAGGGCAAAGAAGATCAGGATAATAGATTTTTGGATCAAAATTTCCAAATGTATGTGGCTTTATATCCCTCAACTATTTCCTTTTTAGTGATCAAGATTGTATTACTGAGGTATGACATTCCTGACATACTATCTTTACATTTTTTTAAGTGTAGCCTTCCAGATGCAAAAATTTGACATACAGTATGCAACAAAAAAAAATGCAGTTATACATATTAAATGCACAATATCTTAATTTACTCTTAAATTGACTTAAAAGTCTATATAATGACAGTCAATATTCACTCCTTGAAAATTCAAACTTCAGTAAACCTGACATTGAATTTTTAATAATATTACTTCATATAAGAAGTTGACAATCATTACCATTCCAGTATAGGACTGGGAAAAATCTGTTTGAATCTATTGAGAATTGCTATAAATCACTGTTGAACATACTGAACAAATATACAAAGGGTACAAATACAACAACTAGATAAATGTGGCAGCTTTTCACATCCAATCATTAAAATAATTAAACTGTAGATTCAGTGTGATTTTAAAGCAACATTGAAAATGATTCCACTTATAAGAAATAAAAAAATATATATTTAAGCATACAGATCATATGAAGATATGTATTAATTCCAGATTAGTTCTAATATTCTCTGTGATTAATGCAGAAAGCAAATGATACACAGAAAATAACCCTTTTGTTGAAACAGTGAGTTCTATCACTCTCTGAGCAAAGATTTTGGACTTACTAGTCACATTTCTGATTTTTTTTTTTTTAATGGTATGAAAAGCAAAAAGTAAAACAAAATTTAGGAGAAAAAGAGGGAAAACTTCTGAATCTGTCTTGAGATGTGCTTCTGATTCTTTGTCTTTTCCCCTGGTAACAGCGACTCTGGATGTGTTTTTCTAAAAACCAGGGAGCAACTTGTTTGAATGGCAAACAATGCAGTGAGAGGCCATGTCTTTGCATGCATCTGAATGTATTTCTTTGGTAGTGCTGATACCAGTATTCAGGCAGATTCATATTAGATGAAGTCATTCTTATCTTGCTGCTAGGAAGTATAATATTTTAAAATTCAGCTTCATCTATTACTTTTATATAGGCACAATACTAAGTAGTTACTCCTCATCAATGGATTCAAGGCTTTAGTGTTGGCATAATTGTGATTTATTTCAGAAATAATAATTGCAGAAGCATTTTCAACCTGACAAGCTGTATAAAATGTTGAGTAATAATAGTTAAAGATTTTTTTTGCCTCAAATGCTGTAGGAGCCAAGAAGATTCCACAAACAGCTGTTTGTGATGATCACTTGTGGGAGTTATATGCAGGGTTTCCAAACTGTGTGGGGCACTGTTAAAATTGTATGATGTAAATTATTTATCCAAACCATTAGGAAAACAACCACATGTAACTATTTGAAACTTACGCAAAATCACGACACTGCTTGCTTATATGAAAAAAATTGTCTGATTTCCTTTTCAGTCATACTATATTTATAGTGTGTTTATGATTGCTTTATTCAGTTGTTTCCATTTATCTTTTTAAAATCTGACTTTTATTGTAAGCTAACATTTTGGAAATACATTGATTTGGATTATAGATATCTCACAAGAGAAAAGTGAGATACATAAGAGAAAAGGGGAGATTTTTCCCCTTACTTGGGGAAGATATTTAACATTTAAATTTTAATTAAACTGATTTAGACATCAAAAAAATGAAGATTCAAGAAGTACGATAGTTTATTTTCTACATGTGCCTATCAAATGTCACCCAAATCAAGAAATTACTTGGTAACCAGTATAATATATATGTTTAAAGTTTAAAGTTCTGGAAGTATTGCAATTATCTCCTTGCAATGAGACTGTCTGCTTTAATAAATTAGACTTTAGAAATATGCTTCTGAAAAATTATCTTCTTCTTTTAGTATTCTCATTTGTCCTTATGTAGGTTTTTCATATGTGAATATCTTTATTATTACAAACCAAGTGAAGGCAACTTAAATCTACTTTAAGCTTCAAGAAAGCTTTTGTTTGCACAATGCCCTGTTCTTCATCTGTGTATGTTGTATTATTTCTTTAGTACCTAAAATTTCCAAATTCTCAGTGCTGATATATTACTGAAGAAGCTGGATTTTTAGAATAGATTGGGAATGGAAAGCTCCAGTCCTTAGTATGGGTGGCTTAGGAGCAATGACTTTTTGGATCAAATCAATTTGGCTTTGGTTTATTAATTTGGAGGAAAAAATCTTTGCAGTCTTAGAGCCAAGACCTTAGCTGTTTTCTTGGCATCCAAATAGATCAGTTGATGGGGCTGTATGATGAGCAAAGTGTAGGCTTTTTCCCAGTTAATTAAGCATTCCATTTTCTGCTAATTACTATAATGCAGACTTTGTTTTGAATGGCATCCAAGAACCTTTGTCTGAATGGTTCTATAATGCTGTCTAGGAAGCTCTTATAGATACCCATTGAAAATGTACTCCATTGAAAATCCATCTGGGCTGTGTGCTCCCCCCCTTTTAATTGCCTGTTCAGTAGCGTTTTTTTTCCTTGTCAGTTCACAGATTTGTGTACGTTGCAAACTTGTCCATTCTGGGGAGCTTGATTTTTATCTAGGTATTCATTCTTCCATCAATACTAAGTTTGTATTTAATCAGTTTTTGTTTTGTTTGGAGTTTTTTTTGGTTTTTAAAATTTTTCTTCTTTTGTTGTCTACAGAGGTCCGTTGCTCATGATTCACTGGGTTATGACTGTTGTTTATTAATTATTTGTCTTTTTGGTTATCCATTATATAACTTTAGAGATATTGATAGCATGTTGTGGTTAAAAATATAAATGATTTCTGTTTTACTATCCTATTAGTTGATTAAGTATAACTAATATTGTGAAAATCATAACCATCCTAATAAACTATACAGAACTAGATTGCTTAAGATTATCTGGACTGGAACCCATCACTGTTGCAAGGTTTTGAATTCCCTTAGCCAAGATAGCAATCCCTGTTTTTTATACATCTTACCCAGCCCTAATCATCTGCAGTTTCTACCCTCTTTATTATTATTCCTTGATTGATCTATTTACTGAGTCATGTCAGGCTCATGTAATTCAACAGACCACTGATCTAAGTAAGCCATTGAGTTTCTATTACAGATATTAGTATCCAGTGTGCATTTTGGGCTAGACTACCTTAGATGCTAATGACTTTGTGTGCCTATCTATATTCAATACAGTATTAATGAAGCTGTCACCTTGAGAATGAATAAGGGGTTGTTTTAAAAACAAAGTAAATGGCAGTTGTCATTTGTCACATCGTGGAGTTTTTTTTTTTAAGACTTTGGATGCATTCAGAAGTGAACATTCTGAATATATTCAGTATTATTTCTTCTGAGAAATAATTTTTCTGAGGAGAATAAATAAAAATTGATGTAAGTTGAATATTTTTTTCTTGCTTGTATTCATTTCAGTTGCATTGCCATCTAAAGGTTGGAATGTTCTATTTGATAGAATAGAGGCACCCAATAAAATCTATACTATAGATAAAATCTATAGTAGGACTGAGCAGCCTTTTAGAAGCAATTTGGAAAAGGTGCCTCCTAGGGTGTGAGACCATCTGCCTGTCTACAGCTGCCCCATGATCCTGGGAAAACCCACAGCTTCTTTCGAGTTGCAGACAGGTGCAGGTGCTCCAAAGACCTTTGTAGATTCTAGTCTGTAGCATGTTACAATCTGACCTGTTCATTTGAGCAGCTTAAAGAAGTAGAGGTAATGGGAAGTTTATAATAAGGTCCTGTTAAAATGACGATTTTAGGATGCTCATAAAATCTCAGTTGTTTGTAGATAAGACTTGCAACAATACATGCATGTGAAGCACATGATAAAAGACACAGAGTGTGATGGAGATGGTATTTGACCTAAAATATAGCAGAAGAAAACTATGGAATTAAAAACAATAAAATGGGAGGACAGCATGGTGATATTAACAGTTTTGAGAAAATATCACTGGACTTAACTGATAGAATATATTTAATATGAGTCTAAGAATAAGTAAAGGCAAGATTTGTGGAAATGAAAATAGAGATACGTAGCTAGATAAATGACTCCAGAAAAAGTGGATTAAAGAAAATTAAAAGGTCCAAACCAGCAACCAATATTGATTTGAAGACAAAAAATAGTAACAGTCAATGGAATAAAAGGAGAGAGATGGATATGAATATCAAGTAGAGGTTTTAGGGGCTGCTTCAGGTTTCACTGAAATTTAGAATATTTATTGGTATTAAGACTATATATCAAAGCATATTAATAGTATCCTAGTAACTTGATTTACATAAAGACACATATCAGAAAGATATGACATGTTAATTTCTGTTTTCTAAAAACTGACCAAAGGATTTTATTTCAAGAAAAGACAAATCTGAATATTTGAAAATGAAGCAGCATTTATATTATCTTTGTGTATCTTTATGTTTAAGTAATGTTCATTGTTTACTAGCCACCATAGAGAACCAATAATCAATGGCATTTTTTGCAATGGCATTTTTTGTATTTCATTACAATAGGCTACTGTTTACTTTCAAGATTGATAGCTAT